AAGGTGTTTCCATATTTTTGTCCAACCCCTGTATCTTTATGTACTGATTCATTTATCAGGCAATTGAGATGAAAAAGCCTTCAGAAGCACCGAAATTTTCTACAAAACTGAAATGTGCTACAAGACCATGTCCTTCCCTTGGTGAGTCCACCAGCGGCTGAGCGGTAAAGTTGCTGAACACTAGTAGTTCAGTCTGTGTTTCGAATCCCACGAACGGCTGGCTCCATGGCCATTTTCATGGTTTTCGCCATGTGCAATGTTTATACAAGCGAGTTCTCCGTAGAAATTCCTCCACAAAGGCATTGTAACGTAAGCGAGCGTTAACCATATGTTACAGCATTCCTCCTCTTAGGCAGATAGCCCTAGAGGCTTTGCTATAATCACATAAACCAAACCATCCCTTGGCAGCAATGTATTGATGCTGTGAGTGATTTTTTTTTTCAAATAGATTAATATTGTCTGAGATGGATTCATAAATGTAGCTATTTCATTTGCAGTAACTGCATAAAATAAAAGTATTAATTATACTCTGAGATAAATATTATTAATCTGTATATATTTTTATCATGAATATCAGAAATTATATAAGTAATAACTTTAAAAAATTTTTTATCTTAGTAAATAATCTGAAACAATTAGAGCTGTTGCAAATTTTCCCAATTGGTGTCCAGATAAAGTTCGAAAAGATAAACTTTTTATTTATTATTTTTATTACATTAAAGGAGATAACTCAAATGGAGAAGGGGCTTGTAAGAAAGTCCATTAATTGCTAGAGGTTCTATATACATGGACCTCTATTATTTTTTCTCCTGGCTGTGGTACGCCAGCATTTTTTTTTTTTTTTTTTTTTTAAATACTGTAAAATTATATAAATGCTTTTTATGAATATAAGGATTTTGTCCGATTACCAAAATGTTGTTTAAGTTGAAATTTATTACTTGTATTCATTTGTACAAAGGTATAACACATTATTAATTACATCGAGAAAATGTTCACAAGTGCAACAATGAGTTTTTTGCTGTATAGGATTTTCAAAAAAGATGCGACAGACTGTAAAAAGTGGTAGAATGTACTGAAACAACCATTTTTATTATTGAATGCATGCTTGTAAATTAAATGTAAAAACATAAGAGCATTACATCATGAAGCCAAGAACATGAGACATAAGGACAAGAATGCAACAATTATAATAAATGTTCATCATGAAGCCAAGAACATGAGACATAAGCACAAGAATGCAACAATTATAATAAATGTTGAAAAAGCAACAGACAATAGCAGTGGAAGGTTTAATAGACTTTCTACATTACAGCAGACCACACAGTTGCAGCACAGATAAAATTCCGGCAATGAGTTCTTTGTCAAATTTCAAGGCAAGTCTCATAGATGAAGCTTTTGAGATGTCCCCACAAAAACGAAATTAAGACATAGCAGATCTGGTGATTATTGGGCCTAAGCATAGTACCATCTCATAAATTCCAGTGGTCTGAAAACAGGATATTCAGATAATTCCTTACATCTTATTGAAAATAACCTGTATCCTATCATGTTGGAACATGCTTTACGAGATGGCTAGTGAAGTATCCTTCAGCAATTTATAGCAAGATCTTCTGCAGAAAAATATACCAATTTATTCATTGAGAAGAACATAATGAGCTTTCTCATCAATTATATACTGTTCAGCTGCATCCGAAGTCTGAAACCATTGTGCATGTACAATTGCAGAACTATTGCATATGGGCAAAGAAGTACTGTCTAGTGTGTTTACATTTTTTTTTTAATTAAGCATTCTGTTGCCAAAAATGATTGTTTGATATGTTTGTTGTACTACTTTTTAAAGTTTGCGCCATCTTTTTTGGAAGACCTTGTTTAAATAATGCTACATACATAAGGGGCAGAAATTTTCTTTCATTTTCTCATTTTAAATCTTATTTAATTCAAATTTCTAATCTTGCCGAAAACTGAAGGAACTAGGAGTCAATTCAAAATTTTGTTTAAGAATTTCTGTTGTTCCTTTACATATAGTTTTCGTTACACAGTTGTACGAGAAATTGTATTTATTATTTTTGGGATAGCCAAATAAAAACAGGGTTATTTTTATTTGTATGCTTTTAGAAGTGATACAAAATTAGGTTTTCAGTATTTAATCTTTTCATGTTGTTTTTTAGTTTTTATGAGCAATTTTAGCTTTAAAGGTCACCTATTTGATATTTAGTTCCTAGCAGATAGACTGGCTTTTTCCATGTGTGGATGAATGTGAGCTAATTTTCCTTAGAAGTCCTTTGTGAAGACATCCTTCTTTTAATGCATCAGATGATGGAAATGAGTGATTTTGTTCTAAACTAACAGTATAATTAGAGGGATGTAGACTTGTTTCCAATTTTTTTAGCATTTTTTTCTATACTTTTTGTATAGAAAAAAATGCTAAAAAATGCTTCACAATTATTGATTCAAAATGCCTTAAAAATTATTATTTTAAAGATAAGTTTTTTTAAGAATTTATCTGTGTCAGATAAGTGTTTTTCTTCTGCTTCCAAACCAATATGATGAATTTAAAAATCCTTAGTTGCAGAGTATATTTTTTTATTACAGGTAGTTCTCCTAGCACAGTTGGTCAAGATATAATGATGAAGAGTCCTAGCTGTTCTTCGTTAAATCTTGGCAGTAATAATTCACACTCAGGACACAATTCTCATAATCTTGCTGATGTATCTGGTGGAAATTCTACAAGTTCTGCTGATCTTCAGCACAGAGTATGGATAACATTTTGATTATTTTAACAAATTACACTATTTCTGCATTTTCAGATATAGTTTATATTTTCAATTGATGATCCAATAAATAAATTTTTATATCATAATTATTTTAATTTAGTATTGTATCATAGGTCAGAATCCTCATGCTTCTTGGATTTATTCTGAGAAGTTCTTGCAAGAATTAATTCTAAAACTGCTACTACAAGTTGCTGTATACACTGCTGGCCACCCAAATTGTAACACCAAGAAAAACAAGAGATATTTAGTAGATTATTAACAAAATTTATTTAGTAGGTAACATGTTGACCAAGTATCAAATGATTCAATTTATAGACTTCTGTGAAGTGTGTTTAATTCCAAATCAGAGCCAGAGTAGCCGCCATGTGGAGATCACCGCTGCCATAGCCTGGCATTGAGTCAAAGAGACTTGGATGTGTTTATTGGGGTACAGAGACCAAGTAGATCAAATTGCCAAAGTGATCTGGGGGTGGCAGTGGGATGTTATTGGGTCAATCGTTCAGCAACAGGACACATGTTTTATACGGAAAGACCGGAGAGCAAGCTGGCTGGGAAAGCAGTCAATTGGCGAAGCATGAAAACCCTTGGACAACGCGTGCCACCGTGACGCACATTATCCTATGAATATGGCAGTGGGCGAGCCTGAAGGAAGGAAGGACATGGTCAACCTCGGTGATGTACCTGGCTTTTAAAGAACAGTATGCATACTAGACGAGGCGGAGAGTGATATCAGTGCCCATTCCAAATACCTGGGGCAGGACCAGTGGGGGGTGATAATGCAGCGTTCAGCTCTCCTCCCGATGTTTCAAGACTCTAATCCAACCATTGTGGGTTGCAGACAGAAGCCTGACTCTGAGTAAGACAATTAATTCATTCTGCTCCACATCCTTCTTCATCTCATCATTGGCGGTGGAGAATTGTGTTCTTTTCAAGGGCAGACGAAGCAATGATGTCTGCGGACAGACTACTCTGGAAACGGCGCAAGTGGTACGAGTAGACACTGGAGATGCTACAGACTGAATGCATGTGCTATGTTCGAATGTGGCTGAGCACGTCACTGCCTGCGCACAATTCATTGCACAAGTGTATAGGTGAAGTGGTGCACTGAGGGTGAATGCGATCAAAACTGGTCATCGTACCCTCTACCGATTTCTGAGAGATAATCCACTCTCGATGGCCCATCCTTCCCTCTTGAATGGATACTGATCAAACGATGGTCGCTGTTCTATAAGGCATAATTGATAGTTTTGGAAAAAAAAAACATTGCCGAACTGAAAATCGCAAAAACTCCAAGCCTTAAATAGCACTTTGAAGTGCACGAAAGTTAATCATTTGAATATTCACCTCTGCTAATGCAGTTGTAATTTCATGTTATTTGCATGCTTCCTTCAGGGTGTTGCATTTACGGTGGCCAGTAGTGTATATAACTTAAATCTGCAATGTTAAAATAAAGTTAACTGGCATGTTTTTAATAATATAAGTTAGTTCAGCTTAAATCACATTAAAAAAGGTTTAACATTTAGTTTTTTTAAAAAAAGGGGAGGAGACATTTGTGATAGACTTAATAAAATTGATCCTTCCAAAGTTTTGAGTTAAAATATTTAATGACTCTTAGGTTATATTGTGAAGGATTTGAACGACAAAGAGTTAAGAAATTCAATTTTTTATTTTATCTAACATTTCCAAGATTCATGGAATATCCTGACTTTCAATCATGGAATGAATGTCCCATTCAGAAATCAGTAATTCTTTTGTCTTTCAATTTGTTATTGTAAGTAGAATCACTGTTGGATAACATCAAATGACATTTAAAGATGAATGAGAAATCAATCACAATTTATAGATTGAAAAGTTAGAATTATGGGTATTGCTACCAGGTCTGAGATAGAAATTTGTAGAATAAATGTAGGCATAAATGGTGTTGCCAGATGTAAAGGTGCAACAGAGTCAGACCTCTTTTATGAGCTCATTTAACTAACATATCTTACGTAACTGCTTATGAAGTTATCTAAATATCTTATTTGGACTTTTCTATTACTGTTCAGCAAGGGACTCAGCAAGGCATATTATACGAGGGCTATCCAGAAAGTAGATTACGTTTTGGAATAAAAAAATAACAAGTATAGGAAAAAAATTTTATTATACCGTGAAAAGCCACACTCAAATATACTTTCTACAAGGCACCATACAATTAAGGCATTATCGTAGCGATGTACGAGTTGGAAATTCTTCGTCGAAAAAGGGGCGCCTGCGACCTTTAAACCACTGGTTAACCTCTCTGCAGTGGCGTCGTCATCAAAACGCTGCTAGCAGAACTTCTCATGATGGGGAATAGGTGGAAGTCACTCGTGCCAGGTCGGGACTGTACGGCGAGAGGAAAACAACTCCACTAAAAGATCAGAACTTCACGAGTGACATTTGCCGTGTGGGGCCGGGCGTTGTCGTGAATCAACAAGATCTTAGAGTCACATTCCTCTGCGGCTTGTTTGAATGCTCTTCTGAGTTTTGGAGAGTTTGGCAATACTTTGAGAGTTTATTGAGTGCCTCTTTCAGAAGTCACCAAAATTACACCTTTTCGTCCCAAAAAACAGTGCCATCATTTCTTGCGACATTGTTTTTCTGCATTTTGGGGTTTTGGGGAACTTGTGTTTTTTGACATTGATGAATTTGTTTCACAGTTCACATGTTTCACATGTTCGCACCAGTACCGATTGCGATACGAGTAAAGAGTCACATCTTATGGTAGGTCCAAAAAAGTTCAACGTGCAGCCATTCGTGATTTGTGGTCCTAATGTCAAGATTTGGAATCATCTTGCACAAACTTGTTTAACCAGCTTTGCTGATGATTCGTGCACAAACTTCGCGAAATTTGTGGAAAAAATGGAAAACTCAAAGAAAGTTCCGTTATTGTGAAATTCCGATTTTCACGGACTTTAGCATCGACTTTTTTGAGAAGTTGGCGGTGGTCGGTTCACATGCTGGGTCTCCCAATTCGATCTTCGTCGTTGGAAGATTGGTTCGGCCATTTTGAAAATTCTTATGGACCCACTGCGCACTCCACCTTCAGTGATAATGTTGTCCCCATACACTTCACAGAGCTGCCGATAGATTCTATCGGTACATTTTTGAAGTCAGAATTAACTGAGCGACAGCTCGCGGGATTTAATAACGCAGACATTCAAACCATCACAGATCTGAAAAGGAGCACAGCACGAAAACTCTCACTAAGCACGGCTAGATGAGGACTGAGCTGCGCAACGCTCTGACCCAAGATGGCCGGCTGAGCCCCGCCACCTAGAGGAACACAGACGGAAACGTAATCTACTTCCTGGATGGCCCTCGTATAATTTTAAGCTTGCATTTTTATTTTCTTTTGGTACAAAAGCATGCAGTTTCCAATCACTGAACATGTTTTGACAATATGTGGCCAAAACTGGCATTCCCTTGTATAGTTCCTTCTCAAAATATCCTAAGCAAATCTAGGAAAGAAATTAAAAATTATGCAAAGAACCAATCTGGGTTTGACATAAATTTTGAATAAAAATATATTTTTTTTGGTTGATCAGACAGAAATGTCTGCTTTCTTTCTATAGAATGAAATCTAATTAATTTTCTTTGTGTTGCCTCTTCTTCAAATTCCTCAACTTTGGATGGTCAGAATGTCTTTTTTTCTGCCTGTTTTAATTAAAATGTTTTTTAAAAAATCTTTGTGTGGCAAACATGAAACGTATATAAAAGTCTTCTTTCCTTCCTTGCTTAGATATAGAATTTGGTTTAAAAAAGATTGATTCAGTTATGTATTTTTAGCTGTTGCTACTTTATCTAATTGTACATAGATTTATTTCTTATTAAACATCAAGTAATGTTGCAAAAACACCTCTTTAAACATTGCTCTTGCTGATAAAGATGAGTTTCTAAATCCAGTGTAAAATGAGAACAAAATGGTGATTGGAAAATTGAATTTTAGTGGTTTAGAAATGTCATTAATTATATGATATAAACAAGTGAAATTAATAATATTCTAACCATTGGAAATTAAAAAAGGACCTATGAAATCAAATCAATTTCATGTTAAAATAATAGAAAAAAATAAGTAAATAATTTGTTTCTTAAATTCTAATTAATGAAAAAATTTTAAATTTAAACATCTATTCTGATTTGTAAAATGTGCCTAAATATATCATTTTATAATTAGTGTTGAGAAGGCCATACTTTTAGGATCTCATTGTTTTTACTGAGAGACTTGCATGTGTCAGTATTAACTCACATGTATTTAAGTTAAAAGGTTGCAATTTGTTTGTTTAAATGCTAATCTAAAAGTCATGAAAAGATTTAAAAACACTTTCAGTTTTATTCTAACATTCAATTTAATGTTCTATTATTAAAAGCAAAAAGTTTTAAGATAAGAAAAAAATCTAAATATTAGTTCTTTTTAACTAACTAGTAGCTGTATTGTTAAGGATAAAATAAATAAAACCTTAACAAATTTCTGGTTCTATTAACACATACACTTCTGTGGATACATAATGACTGACACTTCACAGAGCCATCGTGGCTGCTTCAGAAACATTAATTAACAATATGTTTAAGTTTTACTCTTAGATACATTCATATCAATCACTTTTCTCATGCATTAGTATATGAAATAGTACTGATGTTAGAACTTTATCAAATAGGACTGATATATGCAACAAATATTACATTGAAGGGGGGGCAGAATGAGTTTCCTTTTCCCACTATTATTGTTTTTTTTGGGGGGGAATAGGGAATAAAAACATTATAGTACCGGTTTTCCTAACTGTTGAGTATCTTACTATCTAGGTACAATTTTTTTTTTGGGGGGGAGCTATTATAGTTATTTGTTAGAAATATATGTGTTAATGTTATGTAAGTAATAATCAATATATAAGAATTAAATAAGCTTTAAAACAGATACTGATGAAAGTAAACATATTTAAACAATTTTAAATCTAAATATTTCTGAATGCTGATAAATTTCAAAGGTTTCTAAAATCTATATAAAAAGCAAAATTATTGCAACCATTTTTTTTTTTATTTTATTTTTTTTTATGTGGTGTGCATAATTTTAAATTATTGCTACTAGACACCCTGTATCTCTTCTTAAAACATATATTATTATTCATATATATTATTAATAAGTAACACATTCTTTTTTTTGCCATAGCTAAATCAAGCCTTCATGAGAAAGATACCACCTGGTGCTGAAGCATCAAATATTTTAGTTGGAGAAGTTGATTTTTTAGACCGTGCCATTATTGCATTTGTCCGTCTCAGCCAAGCTGCTAATCTTGGAGACCTGACTGAAGTGCCCGTTCCTACACGCTTTCTTTTTATCCTCTTAGGTCCTTCGGGAAACTTAGGTCGCTACCATGAAATTGGACGAGCTATGGCTACATTAATGTCTGATGAGGTTTGTATTTGTATAAAGATTTTCTTCATTAACCTTTTCCCTTTCCTTAATTAAATGATTTATACAAAAGAATAAGACCAATATATATATAGCTTTTAGCATCAAAGTTATTAACTGTGAAGTATGGTCATACAATTCCTCAAATTACATAACTAAAATAAAAACAAATATACAAATTTCAAATTAAGATGAATAACTTGTATATTCAAGTTAGAGCTTACAAATTTAATGAAAAAATTTTACATTATCTCACAATAATAATTTTAAAAAACTTTTAGATAAAAAAGCCACATTGAGAAAGAATCAAATTCATAAGTAATATGTCACAATTAGATTTAGTTTTCCCAATCATATTTGTTCAGGGAAGGCTTTTTAAAAATTTTCACACAGTATCATAAAAGTTTTATACACTCATAACTTATTTTGGATAATCACAACAAATTAAATATTTTTATGAATAATTTTCAACTTGCTGTTTAACATCATTTGAAATAATATTACTAAAATTATGCTTTTTACTATTATTATTACATTATTTTACACAAAACTGTAAAACCCTGTATCTTTCTCGAAGTACAAACATATCCATCTGTTGGGTAAATTCACATTAGCTAATTGATATATTAATTTAATCAGAGATGCTTCAGTACTTACATGTAAATGCCTCCATTCCTTGTATGAAAGCAATTGGTTGTTTTGAACTGCACTAAGCATTCCAATGTATTAAAAGATTTAAACCTCACTTCATTATACATATAGCAAAAATAATTATATATGAAAAAATTAATATTTTTCATAAATCTTAATCTTAATATATTCTTCTTGCATGTAGTTATTAATTAATTAAAAATTCAGTATACAGTTTGTATTTTATATTAATAATCAAAGACAAAATTTTATGCATTTTCTATATTAGTATTCAAATTATTTCATAGTATTCATTCAAAATTCCAAAAATCTTTAAAATAATTCAAATTTTTTAAATAATAATCATAATTTCTAATTTTACTACAGTAATTTTATAACTTTTCCTAAATAAAATACTTTAAAATCTTCTTAACTACATCAAATTATTAGAATTCAAATTTTTTAGAATCGTGAAACTATTTTTCATAAAACGCTGCTATACTTTTAAAATCCAATTTAGTAAGAAAAATATCAATTTGTAATAGAAATGCATTTGCCAAAAAGCAGAATGAAAAATAATTTTTTTAACACACACTTCAAGCATATTTTCAATCCAGAACCGGTGAAAAATAACCTTACTAATTTATTCATATAAGAGCCAAAAAGAGCAATAAGTAAACATGTGGTGTAGTGAACTTCAAAGCAGTTTTCAACACATCCTATTTCTTGAAGTCTCGTTAAATCACTTTCATTTTGTGAACACAAAAACAAATTTTATGATCAACTCTCTTATACATTGCCTTGAATTTATCACACAAGGACAATTTGAAGAACTGGCTAAATAAATTTTCCATTTTGCACTTGAGGGACTAATTATGTTTAATGATTCCTTTAGATAATTTAAAGTAGAAGATAGCTGCATAGATACCAAAGGTGACATAATGGAGAAGGAAGGCTTTCAGTAATAGCTGATGAATTTAGAATGAAATGAGCCTTGATATGTGTAAACATTTTCACACATCATCATTTATGATTTGCTATGCATGCCACAATTCTGCAAAGCTTACATCTTCTAGATGAAGTGGAAAGCAAACTCTGTGCATGGATAGCAGTAAGGCAAAGCAGGAAAAAAAGAGCTGTGCAATAGTAGCAGTAGTATTTATAAACTTGGGTTCTTTGTTTAAATTTTAGATCAACGATTGGATATGAGCTTAGGCAATACAAGAGGATTACATAACAAGTATGAAACATAGTCTAGAGAACAGGGTTTCTTAAACATTTTTCCAGTCGTGACCCCTTTTTATCATTGAGATATTTTTGCAACCCCCAGGACCCCATAATATTTTAAAAAATTTTGTGGGACCTCATAAGTATTGCTCAAATCCGACATATGCATGAGTGAAACTGTCAATTTTTTCTACTTGTACTGTAATATACTATTGCAGTTTTAAGTCATTAATTTTAATCTCTAATTTTAAGACATGGAACAATGTGAAAATTTAAATAAGTAAGACGAAATGACGGCATCGTGCAAGCAAGGAAAATGAAGTTTTTATTATAAAAAGGAATGCGTTGAAACGTTTTCGTTTTTCTTGCGTAATGTTTATCTTTATCTATTTTCAGATACTGTGTAAATATTTGGTAATTGTAAAATTATTATAAAAAGTTAAAGAAATATCAAAATGCTGAAATTTTTGGCGACCCCCTGCTGCGGTCGCGACCCACAGTTAAGAAACCTGGCCTAGATGTATTAAAGCAAAAATAAAAATAAGAAGTAAAAGGAAATTGTCATATTAAAGTAATAATTTAGTTATGTATTTATCTTGCTTACACAATAAAGTACATATGTATAAATAAAAACAATTTTTAAATTAAATAAAAATTTTTGAAATTCCAGGAATAATTATTTAATTTGTGCAGTTGCAACTATTGCATTTTTTTAACCTTGGGTGTACTTGAATTATATTACCTTGGGTTTACTTCTCAAACTGAAACATTTTCATCAAAGCACCACTGATTTTACACATACTGAATAATTAATATCACTGATGTCAATCTGGCAAATCATTATTATTTCTTCCTTTCATCCCTGCATGACTATCAACAGAGGGCAGCTTGAAAAATGAGTCACACAACAACTAAATGCATTTTTTAAATATCAGTAATTAAATATAAAAAAAATGGTTATTTTTTAAGTCCGTTTTGACAATGCTATCAAGGAAAAATGTCGAACTAAGTTCCAGCACAAAAAAGGTAATGTTTCATCAAGAAAATGCAAGACCACGTGTGTCTGCATTCACCGGCTGGATACTGTACTGACTAGAATGGGATCTTTTCCTACACTTACCATATAATTTTGACATTCCTTCATCGGACTTCTACCCTTTTCACACCTGCAGCTACATCTTATTGGTGCTATCTTCCATCCTGCACAGAAAATCCAAAATGCAGTTAATCTTTTGGACTCACGGCCACCAAGTTCACCAAGTTTCTGGGATGAAGGCTTTGTAAAACTACCAAAATGTTGGCAGAAAATGATAAGATTTGGGTTATGATTACTACCTACACTAAAGTACTGCTTTTGCCCCCCCCGAACTGTATTAAGAATGTTTTTAATGAGAAACTTAAATTACAACCAAATAGACATTTCCAGATCAGACTGTACTATTTTCAGTAACTCGGAGTGGGTGGTTATCGGATTATCAATATTTTCACCTTCTTTGATAGAATTTTGCTTCATGATGTTTAGCTACAATTTTTACCAGTCTTTTTTTTAACCTTAATTGAATACTCATTTTTAACTGACAGAAGCTATGAAAATTGCATCTTCTGCATTGAATTAAACTTGGAAATCCTTGACATTGCAATCAGTTTAATAAATTTTGTACAAGGCAATTTATATTTACATTTAAAAAGTAAATATGTCGAAATATTAAATTAATATTGTTACATTATTTTTGCCTTCACATTCATATGGGGTTCGTGTGAATTTGGAGTGAATAACGATGACACTTGATGAAGTATTGAAATGCACTTTAGTTGCCAGTATTTGTCAGAACAGCTCCAAAACACATTTTACAGTCGTCGATGAACTACTATAAACACGCTGACACGATCAGCGACACAGCCTTCAGATTGTCAGGCTATCACAGTGGAAACAGCTTCACTGTAAAGCACTAGAGCACAGCTCTCAAGTCTGCTCGGTCGTTCTCGGAACTCCACGTACTCTCAAGACTCTCCACACTACAACTTGCGATGCACTCAACGATACACAGAGCACGTCTCCCGACTCTTCGGTTCAGTCATTCCCGGAGCTCAACACGCTCTCTTGACGATACACTAACCATGATACGCTAAGAGACTCCTTCGGTGAACTTGAAACCCACTCGTTGCCCGGCTGTCAACTCGATCGACTTTGTAGGGATTGATTCGCTAGACGAGACACCAACTCGATACTGACTAACTCACACTCTATGCGAGGCACACTCTGACTGCGGACCAGTGGGGTTTATATAGTTTTCATCTTGTGTTCGAGAACATTCTGGTCTAAACCGGTGAGAATTCACCATCTGTCCATAGCACATCACCAATTTTGTCGCCAAATGTGTGATTTCATCCAAATGTGACAACCTTGCCAATTTATGGCAACCCTAAAACTGCTTTGCGGGGAAGCTATCTTACCGTGCCTGTACATTTTGTAACAGTAATAGGTAGCTTCTGATGAATTGTATCTGTTGTTTGAAGTCGTTTCCATTTTATTCTTCTGTCAGCCTTTCTGTTAGATTTTGAAAAAAAAAAGATATGTGTAAATAAAAAATGTATAATGGTTGCTTGTCTGTAAGTACACATGATAAGGATACATACGAGATTTTTTGTGCAGCCACTATTAAAAAAAAAAAGCAAATTTCAAGTGAAAATGACATTTATTTCTAAATAAAAATTATTTTAAATATTTTGACTTCATAAGTTAAAAAATGCATAATGGTTGAATTGTATAAAATTGAAACTAATTGAAAATTGCAGTAAAATATGTGGAAATTTCTACACTGAGCTCAAAAAATGAGAGGAAGATTAAATGTTTAGATTTTTTAGGAAGGCAGAGCAAGGCAATTTGGAATTTAAAATTAGACAAAATTCAACTTTAGAAATATAAATGGGAGAGTTATTACTTATGAGTGTACAGAATATTTTTATGAAACTAACATCAATCAAAGTTTGGTTTTATCCATTTTAATTCATTTTATTTATCCAGTTTCAAACGTTTTTGTTTAATAATTCTAATGGCCTCAATAGCATGCATTTTTATTTTTTTTTTTTTTTTTTTTTTTTTTTTTTTAAAGATTTTTATTTTGTAACTCTGTTAAATCAAAAATAAATGTTTCTTTGTTAAGGTTTTTCATGATGTAGCATATAAAGCCAAAAGCAGACAAGACTTATTAGCTGGCGTTGATGAATTTTTAGATGCTGTCACTGTTTTGCCACCTGGAGCATGGGATCCAAGTATTCGAATAGAACCTCCACAACAATTACCATCACAGGTAGTTCATTTCCAATGTCTTAATTCTTACAGCATCATTTGAAAGAAATGGGAGCTGCTTTTTGTGTTATGTTTTCTAGGACAGAATAAATCCTTTGAAATCTTTATCCATACATAAAGATGTGTATTTTCATTTATGATTGTGGTTATTTTGTTACACAAGTTGCCTCCTTCTTCCCCCCCCTAATAGTTAAGGGATAATCTTTCTATTACAAATATAATACTATATAAAAAAATTATGTTCTTTATTCTGAGGAAATGGGAATTTTTATGTATTTATTGTATAGAACTCTGAATACTGATATGAATTGAAACAAAATGCTGAATAAATTACCAAGTATTAAACTATCATTTCTAAAAATGAACCAGATTAGTTGAAAAACATCATTGGGATATCGTGAAGGGAATTTCCAGTACTTATTAAATAACTGGAATACTTCATTTTCATCCTTTCTAAATTATTAATGAAGTAAAACATATTTAGTAATAATTAGTTTGTTGCTTAATGTTTATTCAGCAATAATTATCTAGTTGCTTAATGTTTATTCACTAAAAGAAAATTTAATGTTATATTTATTAAAAAAACATAAGACCACAATAAAAATCTTTCTTATATCAAAATAAAATAACAGTAATATCTTTCTTGCACTTAAATAGTATCTTTTCAAATTTTGTAAGAAAATTCTATGCATGTGTGACATATTTGATGGCACTTTTTTGGGGGTGGTAAAGGTTGAACAAAATTGTCCTAAAATGGTGACTTTATAATGACATTCTGTATTGTTTTACAAAAATTCTGCAGTACAACAATAAGATGAATTATAGTCTTTTCATAAACATATTTTTCTCCCAGATAAAAAAAGCATAAGACATAAAAATCTTTCTTATATCAAAATAAGATAACAGTAACATCTTTCTTGCACTTAAATAGTACCTTTTCAAATTTTGTAAGAAAATTCTGTGCATGTGTGGCATATTTGATAACACTTTTCTTAGGGTGGTAAAGATTAAGTAAAATTATCCTCAAATGTTGACTTTATAATGACTTTCTGTATTGTTTGAAAAAAATTCTGCAGCATTATAAAATGTATTGTAGTCTTTTCATAAACATATTTTTCTCCCAGATATCATTAAAACATTTATGCTTGAGGTAGGAGTCATTTTATAACATCAGAATTATCTTTCAAAAACTTAATGGAAAAAAAAAAACAGTGATTACCAGTATTAATTTTAAAAAGAAATTGCAATTGGTGTCTTTTCCAAGATTGTAATCCAATTATTTATTTGACAATTTTTATTACACTTGATAAAAGTTTAGACAATCTTAATATAATTTTGTGTTCATATTAATACAAATACTACTTTTCATTTATAGGAATCTAGAAAGAAAACTGAAGTTCAAGAAGTAAAAGTTGATGAAGAAGAAGAAGAAGAAAAAGAAAGGCAGGAAAGTGGGCTGAAAAGATCAGGGAGGTAATGTTTTAAACCAAAAAGAATTTTAATCTTCAATATCAAATGATTTAAATTGGTTTCTTTTCTTAAAAGCAAATGGTAATATAGTCAAAAGTCTTTAATCTGTACTCATTGGGACTTCAGCGATTCCGGATTATCAGTTTTTTTGGATTATAGGTCATCAATTTAAATCTGGTAAGATGGTTTGCAGAAATTATAAAATTAAAAATATGAAACCGTAATTTATGAAATAAAGAGCAATAATCATCTAAAGTGTATCAAAATTTACAAAAAAAAAAGCTTAATATTTATTTGTTTATTAAACATTTCTTTCAACGCGCGCATGCATAAAGCATACATTACACATAGTCGAAATTAGAAAATTGCAACCAGAAAACTATTTAATGTGCATTCGTGGTATTTATAATGACAAATTATAATTAGAATAATTAAATCATATCAAAGACTACATTTAGTATACTTATATACTACATTTAGTAAGGAATTATAAGCCGAATAAAATAAAAACATCTGCTCTGAAGATAAGGATAGTGCTGACAGATCAACTTCCAGTTCATTGTGTGCCGCGATGTCTCCCGTCCCGCCTGCTATAAAGTGATTTAACTAAAAACTTAATTTTCTTCTAGCTTGTATGTGCTTGGCTTAAGAAATTTGTGTTAGAAATACAGTTAAATAATGGTAACACACAAACATTTTTTAAAAAATGCCTCTTTGAGCATAATATAAAATCTGAAAGCTTTCCGATTTTTGTTTCTTTTATTAAACATTTCTTTCAATGTAAATTGTTTAAGCTGTTTCTTCTTTCTTTCTTTTTTTTTTTTTTTTTTTTTAATTTTATAGATTGACATAATTTCTTGTTTAGCTGCAAAGTTCTATTGTTCAAGTCCTGTAATTATTGTGTCCCAAATTCTGACTAAAGTATGAATTAAAATCTTTTCCATTCTGAGAAGCCTCCTTCTCTCTTTCTTCACTATTGATAGCAGTGTTTTCTAGATCTAAACCATACTACAGATTTTGTTATCCATTGATTGATAAAAAGGACACTGTCATTGCATAGGGAAACTTCTGTTATGTAACTTTTCTGCAGATTCCATTAATTGGAAAAATTTCGTAAAGTTTCTTTTATAGTATTAAAAATCTACTTCAAAATAATGTTTGTTGTTTTGCCACTTTCTTAAGCTCGAATCGTGCCAATGCCACTTTTGCGAAGGCTACATTAGAAAGCAAATACCAAATTCTGATACAGCTCCAGGCTGAAATAATAATAGCCTTCAAAAAATAAGCTGAATTAGAGAAGTAAGAAAGAATGCAATTTGCTGCATTTACTTAACTTAAATTCTTTGGAATTAAATTCTTTCTACCTTCTCTGCTACTATGCTAACAAAAGAAAAACAGTATGTATGAGCTATGTCCCACACCAAACAAATATGTCTCGGGGCTTCATTAATTGTTTACATCAGATATAAAAATGTTACACTTTACAGCCACTCAAGAATTGAAAGCATGGTCTTGGCCAATGTCAATCAATGTTTTATCACTGGCCACAATATGATTCCTTAGCCAGCAGTTGTCTGAAAATGACATACAGGAATTTCGATTAGTGGGGGAAGCTTTCTTTTATGGCATTTTTTTTTTTTTTTCTATTTAATAAGGTTTTATTTACTTCATTCATGGTGTATTACTGGTTAGAATTTTGTCATAAATTTTTAGCCTACTTTCTAGTAAGTTCTCGCATCAAATATTTTGCATACACTGTTGATTGATGACAATGCATTGTGATGAGGTTTTTTTCAAAATTCAGTTAATTTTTTTAATATGATGTTTAAATGCTTTTTTTGCACATATATTCAACTAAACAAACAGATTAAACATATCAGAATTTTATTGTTTGCATCATCAAACAGAGAGAGAAAAAAATCTTTCATTGAAACTTTTATGAAGATTTTTAACTTAATATTTGGTGAATCTTCGAAAGTTGCTCGGTTTTCTTTATATATATATATTATAATATAGCATTTATGATTTTAAAATTTCAACATCTAAAATGTATTGAAAAAAACGTTTCAAAATTTTTGCAGTTTATGAAACAAATTTTCATCCTCTTTTTAAAATACAAATGACCAAAAAAAAAAAAATGAATCAAGCGATTTTTCTAAAAAAAAAAAAAAAAAAATTGTTGCGGTCTGAAGCAGAAAGTAGAAGAAAGCATTTCTTTGTGGAAAAATTGCTTTTAAGTTCTTAATGATGTATTAGCGATATTCATTTCTTCATTTCGGCTTAAGTAAAATGCTTGTTATAACATTTATTTCCAAAACTGAATATTGAAAGGGATTTCTTGATCATCTGAATGATATTCATTTATTTTTCTTTATTTCATAATTTTCTTACTTTACTGCTTGTGTTTTAAAAATGACTAAAAATTTCATCATTGATAATGTGTAATTGAAACTAGGAAATGGAGAATAAAAAAAATACGATTAAAAAAAGGTTTTATACAGTAACCTTTTATTTAAAATGGATATGATAATTAAAGCACTAAAAGGAGAAAAATAATTTATCATATAGTTTAATGGGAATAATAGTTTAAATAGATCTGTTTACATAATTCATCTATAATTTTATATCATGAATAATAAAAGTGGGGGGAGGTGCCTAAATAATGAAATCTATTAATTTAATTGCATTGTCAAACATATGAGACATTATCTTTTTTAATTTTCTATTCATTTAATTGTATTGTCAAATATATAAGTCATTATCTTTTTTAATTTGCCATGGACAACCGTATGCTTTTATTATTTGGGTTAGATATTGTACATGACTAATGAGAATAGTAGATTAAATAATTCTTAATCTACTATTCTCATTAGATTTTTTTCTTTTAATGCATTAATTATCATACTAATTTTAAATAAAAGCATATTGCATAAAAACCTATTTTTTAAATTATGTTTACTTAGTATTAAATTATCCATATTTTGTCAAATTTTAACGATTTTTTTATTAACAAACTCAACAGGTTCAAAGCTAGCAATGGCAACACTGTATGTGGGGGGGTGTACGTTTTTATCTCCAGCGCATGAGACTGTGTATTGGAACTTCTATAGATGTGCTCTTTTTAAATATTTTGTGATATTGCTGTTGAACTGTATTTTATGGTTTAAGTATAAAAAAATGATATTTAAGAAATATAACACACAAAACATTAAAAAAAGCCCCTTTAGGTGTAATGTAAAATCTGAAACCTTTCAGATTTTTCTAAACAATTTTTTATTTATTGTTTTTAATTTGGTGGTTAGGATATCTGGTCATTTCACATTTTGAATGTCTCGATTCCCAATCTTTTTACTCAACAGATTTTATTTCTGTGTCATGATTAAAATGTATTTTGAAAAATGTGTATGCTAAATTATGAAATAAAAAAATATTTATCAGACCTAGTTCTTAAAAAAATAATTGTACAGTGTTGAAATTGTATTTTAACTCAAAATCAGATCCCTTCTAATTTTTTTCACTTCTTTATTTAAGCAAGCACATTATAAGAGTATCAGTAATTTTTAACATGTAGTTATCTTAAATATATGTTAGTGAAAAATTAAATTTACTAATTTTTTATTGATTTTCTGCATCCTATTTCAGGTTATTTGGTGGCCTTATAAATGATGTAAAGCGAAAACTTCCATGGTATATAAGTGATTTTACAGATGCATTTGCTTTGCAATCTGTTGCCTCTATTTTTTTCCTATACTTTGCGTGTTTGACGCCAATAATTACATTTGGTGGCCTCTTAGGAGATGCAACTGAAGAACGAATAGTAAGTATCCAAATATTATTTTTTACAGATGTATTTTATATGCTTAACTAATCAAGTCGGTAATAACAAAAATTTCCCCTTTCCTTAATGTTTACCTTGAAATAAATGAATAATATTAAGTAAACCATAATTTTTTTAATTTGCATTGTAGCTTACTTTCTACTGTTCTGTTGCATATACTGTATTTATAGATGAGATTTAATTTTGAACTGACCAGTTGTAGAATGGCTAAAGCTTGTAAATCTTGTTATTTCCAAACCAAATACAATTGTTGACCATAGAGTAAGCTGGCTGGTTAAATGGCAAATCAGCATATGTAATGTGGTGTGTGTTTATCTGCTTATGTGATGGTGATTAAATAGAAACCAGTTTTCTTTGAAACTCATCCAGCAAAAGCACTTCACTTCAGAAGACAGCCCAGTAAAGGTTTACCGTACATAATGGAATGGTTACCACATGAAATGCTTAATAAGAAGTGTAAATTATGAGAAAAACTTTTGTAAGAGATTACACTTAAAAGTTTCTCCTCTATAATTTTTAGTTACAAATCTTAACAGAACTATAATTAAAGTTCTGGTAAGCTGTATATGTAATGTAGCTGTAAACTAATTTCCCTAGAAACTCCTTCATTAACTGTAATAGCAAAAAGAGCACACTAAAGAATAAGCGTTAAGTATACTACAACAACAAAAATCTATTTGTGTAAATTAACCTCTGAAACTATAGTTTCAAATTTATGGAACTTACTCTTCTTCTTGTTATCGTAGTATCTTTAACCTTCCTTGAAAAAAGCTTTCCTTGGGCATTCCATGCCTAAGTAGGGTTAATAGATATCCTTACAAATAGATGAACTTCACTGCTTTGCTGTTGTTAACTAATCATGTGTGGCAATGCCAGATTATTTGTAGAAAACATTTTATTCTTTCTTATTTCAAACAGGTTTTTTGTGATTATTTGCAATGTGCCATCATGTAAAGGAATATTTTTCTCTTGGAAGTATTATGTAGTTATTATTTTAAAGATATTTCGATACTTTCTAATTAACCATCCAAACCCCCACCAAAAAATTGTGAACTTGTTGACAACAGTACAGAGCATTTGCAAACTTGTTAGTAACTAATTTTTCCCCAAGCTAAATTTGTGAAAGGCAACAGCCATTTTCAGATTGGCAGTATGCTAAGAATTCCATACAAGAGCACTTGATGAGTAACATTTAAAAAGCAAGAAACATCTGTAATCATGCAATTAACTTTTTGGAGAAATTCTTTTTTTGCACTGTTTTTTTCCCTGTGCATACAGCAATTTGTTTTCACTTACATTGGAGAATTCCACAAATTCAACATCCTTACAAATTCGGTATTGTGCATTGGCCTAAACAGACAAGTACTATGTTCATGCCTGCATTGCCACGTAAATACTTGTAGGTTTTTTTTTTTTTTTTTTTTTTTTTTTTTCCCATTTCTTTTAAAGTATTTTGGCTACATATTGTTTTGTCTCGTGCAGATAATCGGAAAGTACCAATCTTTCCCTAAAGCAAACTGTAATACAGTCAAAAGTCATTAATCCGGACTCGTCGGGACTTCGGCGATTCCGGATTATCGATTTTTCCAGATTATAGATCATCAGTTTAAATCTCGTAAGATGGCATGCACAAATTCTAAAATTAAAAATATGAAACCGTATTTTAGGAAATAAAGAACAATTATGATCTAAAGGGTATCAAAATTTACAAAAAAAGAAGCTTAATATTTATTTGTTTACTTTATTAAACATTTCTTTCAATGTAAGTTGTTTCGTTTTATGTGATAATACTTTCTCTTTAATTCTATAAACAGACATAATTTCTTGTTCAGTTAAAAAGCTCCGCTGTTCAAGTCCCGTAATTGCTGTGCCGAGAATACCGACTAACTTGTCAATCGAAATTTTTTCGTTTTCACTAACCTCTCAGTCACCTTCTTCATGTCTTTATCCATTTTTTGTAGCAATTCCACTTTTTGTTTGATGGACATTGAAACGTACTTTCGTTTTGTAGATACTTTGGGAGCTCCAGCATCGGAAATTCTATTTGACATAATCGAAGGTTCAAGTTTACTTTTATAAAATTGCTCTTACTGTCTGCAAAAAATAATAAGCTGCATCCAATTCGAAGATTAAGGAATAATGCAAGCATCAAACATTAACTGAAATAGATAAATTGTAGATAATTTTAGCTTACACCGTCCATTATACATTAAATGCTGCATGGCAAAAATGTATTCTGTGCTTGTGCACACGCATATGCGCAGCGCGTAAAGTTCTTACGTGCACGCGTAAAACGCCTATGCGCATGTGTCAACGCGGCGCATACGCAGAAAGTTTTTAGCTTTGAGGTCCGGATTATGGGTGTCCGAATTAACGACTTTTGACTGTATATCAAAATGGAGTTTTCTGTTTTTATTTGCTGAATAAGATATGATTTCTTTCAATATTTATTCATAATACAAAAGTCATGCTTAATAAGTCTTTTTCTGCGTTGAAGGCTGCCATTGAAAGTCTCCTATCTGGTGCAATCTGTGGTATTTTATACGGTTTATTTAGTGGTCAACCTTTGACAATCCTGGGGAGCACAGGTCCTGTTCTGGTCTTTGAAACAATATTATTTGATTTCTGCAGGTAATTTAATTATCATTCATCTGTTTCATCAGTCATTATATATTTTATGTTGTGTATATATATATTAAAAGCATAACTAGTAAGAAGTGTAACTGATTTAGACAAAAAGAAATGGTTTGATAATCGTCCACTGAATACCATTTACTTTCATTCTTCTAAGAAAAATGAGTTGATATTAAAAAAGATATTCTGTTTATGTAACTAATATAGATATAATAACTTTGTTTCTGATCTGTTTCTTTCATTTCACACAGTGTGATTTTCATTATTTATTACAAACAAAAGCAAAACATGTTTCATATGAAATGCAATTATCTTATGTGGCACAGTGCCAGCTAAAATTTTATACATCCTCCAATTACAGTGTTCACTTATTTTCTAACTATCCCCAGTTATGGGAAAAGATAACAGCAGTTTATTCATAGTAATTTAAAGTCAAACGTTCTCTACTCCATAATTATCATAAATTCAAAATCTTGCAATAAAATAGTATATCTTGTACTCTTACAAAATTTTGTAGCATACAACATAATATAACTTGAATGAATTGCCTTTAAAGTACATTTTTCATCTTACTAGCTGCTACTGTATATTTTATCATCCAGCTGCTACAACTTAAATGTAAAAAAAAACTTATCAAAACAATAATTAACCCTCTGAGTGCCATGGCTTTCTGAATCTGCTAATGAAGACCTATATATACAAGGGGTGATCAAATGAAAAGGTACGAAATGGCGTAAAAACGTAACAGTTAAGTATTTGCATATGCCGCTATGGGAGAACATAGTGAGACATCTCGGGATGATATTGGAGAGCATGCGCGAGCACCCGCATGCGCAGGAAAGAGCAGAGGCTCTTATCAAAAGTGGCATCCAAATGATGCAGATGTGGCAGTCCGTATGAGGACAGGATGCGTTCGCATTGCAAAACTCGACAACTGAGGAGCAGCGAGGTGTTATCCGATTTCTGACAGCGGAAGGTGAGAAACCAGCAGCTATTCATCACTGGATGGTGACAGTTTACGAGAAGAAATGTGTCTCTGACAAGTTTGTCAGGAAATGGAGTGCCTGTTTTTGTGCAAGCCAGCAGTGTGGGTGATGATCCAAGACCAGGCCAGGCAAACTCTGTCATCACGAGCGATCTCATCGATAAGGTAGACGACCTAGTGAGAAGTGATTGGCGTGTCACATTGCGAATGTTGGCGGTGAAGGTGGATGTCAGCTATGGAAATGTGTGGACAATTGTTCAAGACAGGTTGCAATATTGGAAGGTGTGTGCCACTTGGGTTTCGAAGCAGCACTTCAACATCTGTTTCAGTATCAAGAAGACCCCGCTTTCATGGAGCGGATCATCACAGGTGATGAGACCTGGTGCCATCACTACGAGCCAGAGACAAAGCGGGACAGCATGCAGTGGAAGCATGCGTCGTCACCTCCCCCTAAAAAAGTTCAAAGCCGTGTCATCAGCAGGCAAGGTGTTGCTCACCGTCTTTTTTGACGTTCAAGGTCCACTACGTGTGGAATTCTTCGAGCACAGAAAAACCATTAACTCCAATGTGTACTGTGAGACACTTTGACGCCTACGCAGGTCCATCAAGAAGAAAAGACCGAAGCTGCTCACGGAGGGTGTGGTTCTGCTACATGATACCACGCGTCCACACGTCTCCAGAGTCACACACATTGAACTGGCCAAGTTCAAGTGGGAGACATTGGACCATCTGCCCTACAGTCCGGACATGTCGCCCTGCGATTTCCATGTGTTTGGTCCACTAAAGAAACACCTGAAAGGGAAGCGAGCAACTCGGGCACACTCGGACAGGATGCTGTGTGAAGGACTGGGTCTCGTCACGGCCACAGCAATTTTGGGAACAAGGAATCCTGTGGCATGTTCATCAGTGGGATCGTTGTGCTCAGGCCTATGGTGTATATTTTGAATAAAGTCTACATTTGTACCCACCGTGTCGTTTCGTACCTTTTCATTTGATCACCCCTTGTAAATAACATCATTTAATTGTTAAATTTATATAATTTACTTATATTAGTCTCTGTTTTATAAGATCATATTTACATCAGTAAAAGTAAGAAAGCAATATATTTTAAACTATAAGCTAATATGTAGCAGGAGACAAAAAAAATCTCATGACTGGATAAAGGCAGTCCCACCACTTAAGGAGTTAATTAATTAACATGTTCAACAATTTCAGTTATCAAAAGAAACTACTAAATAGCTGCTTAAAATTCTGAAAACAGTCATTTGTCAACTGTTGCAAGATCAAAATAGTATAACATTTGAATAGGCCTTTTAATTATATATGAAGATGTTTTGACTGTTATACTTCATACTTTGTGATCAATGACCTTTGTGCAGTTCCAGCTTCCTCAGATGTCGAGGTATTTGGTATCACCTATCAAAACTACATCATTTATGTTAAATTCAGTGGTTACATTAACAGGTTTAACAGAATTTTCCCCTTTTAACTAGAGATGATATTCTCTTTTCCATAGTCTCCGAGAATAATTTGTATGAATATCTTTTAATTAAAAATCATATTAAAAAGTGTTTTTATTTTTAGATTTTTGGTTTACTAAACTGTAATATCCCCTCTTTCATAAAAAAGTGAAAATTTTTATTTGGGGATAATAATAATAATAATGTCAGGCACCATCAGCGGACGATCAAATATGAAATGTGCATCAGTGTATAAGTGGTTAAGATTGCTGTATACTGGTAGTTTGAACCCAGGCAAATGGACTGGCAGCATTATTATTTTTCATGATTTTACCACGGGTAACTTGATTATGCACTAGTTTCTCTTGAAAAGTCCTCCATGAAGGCAGCTGTTCCCTTAAGCAGACAGCCTCATGTACATTACCATATTGAAATAACCTTTCATGTTAATTGTAAAATTTTCATAATTTTCTTTCACACTTTTATTAAAATGCAATGTGATTAATACAATATATTACATTTATTTTCTTTAATATTTCATCCGTGTTATTAACTAAAAGATAAATTAAAACCACTGAACTGCTAATTTTCAGTTCAGTTTTTCATGGTAGGGTAAATTGATTACATGGATGTTTTTAAGCTAAATTTTCCGTAGTAACTTCTTCACAAAAGTATGAACTCTTGTGAGATTGGCCTACCTGATCGTCTTTTTAAATCAAATATTTTTTGTATCTGTTGCTCTTAATTCTTTGTTTTCCTAATGTACATTACCTCACTTTTTCTTACCATTCTATTATCATTCTTAAAACTGAATTTCATTCATTTTCTGTACCATTAATTGCCATATTTATATTCAATTAAAATTTGGTATTTGTGATTTGTGCAAGTTTATGAAATCTCAAACTTCGTTTCACATGAGATACTTTAAAAAACTAAAGCGAGACCTGTATATTTTTGTTTTTGTTTGTTTGTAGTAGTAGTAGTAGTTTTTTTACAGAACTGTGTCAACAAAAGGCAAATTGCCTTTAGTTTCGTTTCGCAACTGGCAAAACTTCTACAGTAATGTTACATTATTTACTTTATATTTTAATACCTTTAATAAACAATGTTATTTTCAGTTTTAAACTACCTGTTTTGTAATGTGACTGGGTTTCTGATTTCCAGTTTGTTAATTTTTGTCTTAGTTCATATGAAATTTGAATGAAGGATGGCATATGTAGTTCTTGGCATATATACTTACTACAGTACAAAGTCCGAAATCCGGACTCATCGGGACTTCGGCAATTTCGGATTTGGGATTTTTACAGATATTAGATCATCACTTTAATAACATGGCATGTAGAAATTATAAAATTAAAAATATGAAACCATGATTTATGAAATAATGAAGTACTTATGATCTAAAGAGTATCAAAATTTACAAAAAAAAACTTAATATTTATTTGTTTACCTTATTAAACATTTCTTTCAATGCAAGTTGTTTAAGTTGCTTCGTTTTTTGTGATAATACTTTCTCTTTAATTCTGCAGACAGACATAATCTCTTGTTTAGTTACATTACTGAAGTCCTGTAACTGCTGTTTCAAGAATTCCGACTAATTTGTCAATCAAAATTTTCTCGTTTTCAGTAGCTTCTCTGTCACTTCTTCACTATCGGTAGCGGTATTTTCTGAGTGATGCCTAAACAATTTTTTATGCTAGTAATTGAATAATAAAGGAGTATGGTAACCTTTTATGTTGACATTATGCTTGGCAATGATTACAGATTTAAGTTAAATGCGATAAAAAATTTTGACGAGGAAAAATTTACCAAAAATTTCTTTCCATATGCTAACAATAGATTTTGTTGACAATACTCATAGACCCAAAGATTACATTTAGGGCTATTTGAATTAAGGATAGCTGATTTGTTATTCATTTAAACCCAGAACCAGCACCAGGGCTCGTATGGCCACACAAAGTTACAGAATTTAGGACCCACAGAGACTGCATCAGGCGGTAAGATATCTAGCGCTGGCCCTCAATAAGGCTTAAGTATATGTGGGAATTTATTTATTCAGAACTCTGATAAGCATGTGCAAGAAATGAACATAAGTATAATAAATAACTAAACTAATACAATTCCAGCTTAATTGTCTCGATGCATGATAGAAACAAGATAAAATTTAACAGAACAACTTGTCGTTAGTCACCAAGCTCATGATGCATAGCCAAATATGAGCCACTATTTTTTTAAGTTTTTTTGGATATTGCAAAACAAAGGAGAAATTTTCCAATTAATGGATTTTGTAAAGAAATGTGGAGAAGCGGTAATAAATGAAGATGATATAAAAGAAGTTTTCCATTGTGATGACAATGCTTCTCAATCATCAATCAGATGTTTTATTATGTGCGATGGGGGGAATTAAAACTGCATGCGTAAAGCCTACAAGAACAAACGTTGTTGGTGTTTTTTGAGATCTGAGATTTTAGATCGTTCCGGATAATGGACGTCTGGATTTCTGACTTTGTACTGCATTATTTATTTATTCATGGGCTGTAACTTTAATAGCGGCAGTACTGTTATGCATTAGCACCACGAAACACAACCATTGCTTCACACTTGTACTACATGTTAATTCTATACCTAACCTACCTCGCAATGAATAACTCTCTCTTCTAGTGCTATGTACGTGGACCATGACAAGAAGAAATTGTGTTGTTTGAGTTGTCAGTGTAAAGTTGTGTAACAACGGTGTTGTCAGAACAGGAGTAACAGTTGTTACGAATGCAGAAATAGCTATGACAAGATGTTCCTGAAAATCATTTGGAGCAAAAGCACCAAAGAAAGGCACACTTATGTATTGTTAATAGTTCGGTGAGATAGGCCAGATAGTATATGCCAAAACTGAGATACCAGTCAACCAGTGGCATCATTATGGAGTCGCAATGAAAATTCAAATTTCATCAGAACCTCAGCAATAGGAAAGTTGTAGTGATTTTCATGCACAGTTGTGTTGATATTAGTTTTAACCCTTTTAGTGCCAAGTCAAAGCATTGCTGAGAATATAGAGCCATTTTGACAAATTTCCTAAAGTTTGGGAAAAAGCTCATAAAAACCAAACTAAGAATGATATTTACAAAATTCAAAAAGCAGCATATTATGAAATAAAGAAAGAATGAAGTAATTTCAATATTTATTCAAAATCATATGAATAACTTCAATATAAAAACATTTCAGTTCTTTTGCGATAAAATTAAACCATTTATAACATTTTATAAATTTATTTTAAAATAAAGTTCTCTTGAAGTGCAAATAATAAGGTACCATCGGATATACAGTGACATAGCATTGTTGGCACTTTTTGCAAGTGTCATTGCTCAGCACTATAAGGATTAATGCCTACCTTACCTGAAAAGCAGACCTTTTTATTACTCTTCCTTTATGGAACTTTATATATGAGCATATTGCAGAAGGAAGCAACAACACTTCTGTAATATCTTCCATCATTTTGTTGTTTGGTGCTTGAAACACAGTCTGTGGTTGATTTGTTCATATAGTGAGAATTGATTCACCATCTGTGTTGTGTTTTATATGTGTTGGGTACATGCTCAGTGATGATTACAAGATGTACACAAACATCGTTTTATTCTACATTTCTCATCTACTATACTATATTACAGTTATAGGTAAAGATAATAATAGATACAGTTACAGTTACATATGTAACGCCATCCACCAAACTTTTTAGACTTAATCCTTTGTCACTATAATTTGACTTCTAAGATGAAGCAACCACTTTTTAGCATTTATTTCTGAACTATTCTGGAGGTTCTTCAGATCATAGGTCATGCTCTTAATCAACAAAACAAGAATTGCTGTAGGTATGCTAGAACTTCCTCATTGCTGGCAACAAGTTGTACACAGTGCTAGTTACATTTCTAAAGAAAAGGGTAATGTTTAATAGACTTTTGTGTCAAGTTGTAAATTAATAGTTGCCATTAGTAAAGTTCCAACTCTCACATTCTGTAAATTTTAAACGTTTTAATAGTAATTGTTCTAAAATATGCATTTATATTCTTCCAGGGATAATGATCTTGAATATCTGCCATTACGCTTATGGATAGGTATATGGACTTCTATTATATTAATAACATTAGTGGCGCTTGATGCTAGTGCTTTAGTTTGCTACATTACTCGGTTCACAGAAGAAAATTTTGCTACCCTTATTTCCCTTATATTTATTTACAAATCTGTTGAAAAGGTGAATATATTTTTTGTTATTCTGTTCATTGAGATTTTAATGTTTTAGTTATAAAAGTAATACAGCAGACCCCTGATTTATAAATTATTCAGTATTATGGCTTTCTATGCTATAAGGGCTTAATATGTTAAAAAGAGTTACCTTCAATGAAAGCTTTTAGCTTCTGAGAAGCTGAGAAATCTTATTTAAGACTGAGAGTGCAGTCTTATTATCAATTAATTCAGTGCCATAATATTGAAAAGAATTTGTATATTATATTCTGTCTACATTCTGTATCTGTCACTTGAAAACATTTTTCCCCAATAACAATTATCATTAGCATAAATTAGAATTATTAAATTTTTAATACATTAAATTAAAATTAACATTGCATTATTTTTTTTATGCGTAGTATAGTTATATACAATTACTGGAATTAATTTTTTTCAGGCTATAAATTATTTACTGTTGTACCTAGAAACCTCAATTATTGCTTTCAAAGCACCGGGAAGTCTCCTTCTCCCTAATCAAGAAATAGTAATCAGTTAGGCTTTAATGCAAGAGCTCTCCAAGAAAAAGCATCCTAAATAATATTTTTTTTAATTGAAGATAATTAATATTTGAAGTAAGTAAACTTGATTTTTTATGGAGGAGGAAACAGTTTGAAACTCTATTCAAACCTTTTATAGTTTGTTCTATTGTACACGTTTTACGGCTCAGAAAACTGAATCTGCCAAATTGGATTATGATGTAAATATATTAGTTTGCTTTGACTTGATACTTGGTCAGGTTTTGAATTCCAGCTGGAAAAATAGTCTTTTGCTTTAGACTGAAACCTTACCTAGTCAGTGTCACAATGTGAACCATATGATTTTTTCTTCAGTTAAAAAAAACTTACTTGGAGCTGTGAATATGGTGTATGCAAAAGAAGTTGAAATCTGTATTGTTGGACAGCAGCCTGATTTCAGCCTTCTATGTGGCTATGCAAAAGAACACCATGGGGTGCAGAAGCTGCACTGCACTATTTTCTGCACCCTCTGAAGTACCTAATAGAGTGTCGTTAAATCAGTAATTCCTGTTGTTGTGTTGCACTTCCCTTCCCCCTCCCAAAAAAAAAAAAGGTCTGTTAGTCAAATCAAAATCTTCCCACCAGATTTCTGTGCTCTAAACTTGCTGGTTGAAAGAGATCCACTGTGCCTTCACACTGTGTTCTTTTGTTTTGTTTTTAGTTCACTGCAATAAATGTGCATCTCATGGTTGTAACTATCTGTGATTAAAAATTATCTTTATTGACATTTATTGTGGAGTATGTAATTTTTAAGAAAATCAATCCAATATTTTATGTATCTACCAGAGCACAACGATGCCCATTTTAATTGTTTCGTGTAGATTTTCCATTGTGTATTTCTTGAATTTTGTTCATATATTTTTTGGTCATACCCACACTGAAGTCTGGTCTAGAGTCACTCTAAGTGTTGCTCTCTCCTGCCTAAATATGGCAGTTTAATGTAGCACAGGAAATTACAATACCATAATAGATTTTGTTATAAATATTTGTGTATGCAATTCTTTCATTAAAAGCTGGATTAGGACAAGATAGGATATTCACAGACATTACTGATTTACAATATTTTGTATCCTCACAGAAATTAATTGATAATTACAGTGTGTATTATATTTTACACTTCTGACTGATGATATAATTATTTTAGTATGTTTCATCATCTGACAGTATTATATCCCAATTAAGTTTAGACTGTTGTGAGCCACCCAACCAGAATAGTGGTTAGTGACACTTACTGCCGTACTAAAGGGCTCAGCTTCAAATCTCGGAGAAAGCGTTTATGTTTGTAAATGTGTAGTGTCATTATAAATATGTAACTAGCCGAAAGTCCTTTGGAAAGGTTGGTGGTAGGAGACTCTCAGACCCGTTCCTCCCCTCTACCTTGTGCTGTCCATTAAAATTGGGACAGAACTGAGCAAAGTCATACCCTCACCTGTATGATGCTCAAGGCTCTTGCCAATGACAGGAACAATCATGCGTTCCTTGCCACGATGAATTTTTGTGGGCTTGTTCTGATTTTGTCAGACACGTGCGATAAGTCACAATGTGGCAACAACAGAATGTAATAAAAGCATTGCATTTCTTTTGTATTCTAAGTTGTAACTTATTGTATTTTGAGATACAGATGAGATTCCAAAAGTGGAAATTTTATCTATGATACTATATGTGAGAGTTAAAAATTTTATTCCTTTTGAGACTGGGGTGTCTGCTGTATTTTGTTTGTTTTTTAATTTATCTGAAATGTTATCTGCTTACAATGGAATATCTTAATGTGTTTATATTGAAAAAGAAACATATATTGAAATCTACCGATCTGTTGGGAAAGGTATAATTGCCACATTTGACAAAGGTATTCTAATGATCTACATAAATTCTTGCAAAAACTTAACTAGTTATGAAATAAAATTTGTAGATTGATAGCTACAAACAACTTGGCACTCTAATCCATGCCTATTTCAAAATGTTTACATTTTAGTTTTATGGTAAAAAGAGAAGCTGCAAGCAGCAGTCTATCTAGGCTAAAGTGCAGAAAGCAAGTGACTTATGTTCAGCAAAAAATTTTAATACAGAATGAGTTAGTTTTGATTTTCTGTGCATTTGATTGAATTATTAATAAAGTTGTAAAGTTATTATTGGCTGTTTTATCTCTATCTACATTACCAGTATAATGTAAGAGTTATATGCCATGAATTAATCTCAAAAAGACTTAGTGCAGGGGAAAAGTATTATTTTTTTTAGAATAGAGAGGGGGGGGGCATTGAAATTAAAATTAAGTATTAAACGCTGTTGCTAATTTAAATCATAATTAAAACATATTTTTTATTTTCTGACATAATATATTTATATATGTGCAGACACATATATACAGGTGTGACACAAAAAAAAAAAAAAAAAAAAAAATATTGAGACTGTGTAGCTTGAAAACTAAGAGAGCAAACGAGACTAAGTGGAGTTGGCAACAACTGTTTTGGTTATGTCATGCCATACACCTCCTATATCCATGTGGCCAGTTTCGACTTAACTGACTACACCAGTGGGGAATACTACGTCATTAAGTAAACACGTGCAACTTCTTTCTGCTGTAAAAATGTCTAATGCAAAAATTGAATGGCAAATCAACATAAAGTTTCTTGTGAAACTTAAGAAATCAGCCATGGAGGAAACATTTCAAATGTTAACTGAGGCTTATGGATATGAAACTTTGTCTCATCCATGTGTGCTTAAGTGGTATAAGTGGTTTTTAGGAGGAAGAAACAGTGTGGAAGATGATGAATGGAGTTCCCAGCATGTTCATCATGATTGAATGGGTTCCCAGTGGTCAGACTGCTACATTAAAGTACTAAAAAGACTTTGTGAAAAAATCGGGGATAAAAAAGCCCAACAGTTGTGGGGATGACTGTTGCATCAGGACAATGCACCCACTCACACAGCCCTATCTGTCAAGCAGTTTTTAACCAGCAAAATTATTACTGTGATGGGGCATCTTCCTTATTCACCTGATTGGCTCACTGCAATTTTTTTTTTTTTTTTATAAATTTCCTAAAGTTAAATCTTACTTAAAGGGAACCCATTTTACCTCAGCTGAAGAGATTCAGGCAAAAATGGAGAATCTCCTGAAGGATCTTCCAAAAACCTTGTTCCAGAACTCTTACCAGTAATGGCAGCACTGAATGCAGAAGTGCGTGAATGCTGAAGGGAACTACATTGAAGGTGATAATGTCACGGAGAACTGATTCTGGAAGTACAATGATTTATTGGACAGTCTTGTGTGTGTGTGTGTGTGTTTTGTGGGAGGGGTGGTGGGTGTCACACTTTGTATTTGTATTATAAATTTTTTTAAAGTACTTAAAAAAGTTTTAAAATAGATCTCAATTTTTAGTGAAAAAAAAAATTACAAGTATAATTTTCTTAAATATTTTAAGTAGACTAAATGGTGAATTTAATGGATTATTTTTAAGTCATAAACTTGCAAATTGTTATAATTTTAAAATGCATCAATTTTCATTATGCCTGTATATCATTTATTAAGTTTATATGGAGTTATCTTACAGTTGTATTATTTTGTTTATGTATAAATGAAATAGCATTCTTTGAAATGCAGACAATTTTAATTATGCAAGTTAAAATTTTGATCAGAATATCATTTGTTTGATTTCCAAAGTGTTAAAAATTAGACCTGAGCGATTTTTTTTTCCAAAATTTAAACTTCTGTATTAGAGCATTCAATTAAAAAAGTTTTATTGTAAATGAACTTAAAAATTATATTTCAGGTACTGGATATTGGACATTATTATCCATTAAGCAGCTCTAATATTGAATTCCCAGGTCCTTGTCTTTGTACCCCTACAAATTCAAGTTCAGAATTTTCTGAGGATATTCAGTGGAGCTTGTTAAACAGCACTACATGTCACATGTATAATGGCACTATGGCTGGAGCTGGTTGTATTTCTTCATATCCTGATGTCTACTTATTTTCTGTCATCTTATATGCAAGCACATTTTCTATTGCTGTCTTTTTGAAAGAGTTCAAGTTCACCCCATTTTTCCCATCAAAAGTTAGTTTGTATGGTAAACTGTACTGTATTTTAAAAACTTTTTATTTTACTAGCATAAAAATGCTATACAAGTAGGTGATTTTAAATTATTAACTGATTATTCTTTGTAGTTTTTTCTTCCCATCAAGTTCTCCATAAATTATAATACGGTCAAAAGTCTTTAATCCGGACTCGTCGGGACTTCGGCGATTCCAGATTATCGGTTTTTCCGGATTATAGATCATCAGTTTAAATCTGGTAAGATGGCATGCAGAAATTATAAAATTAAAAATATTAAACCATAATTTATGAAATAAAGAACAAATACGATCTAAAGGGTATCAAAATTCACACAAAAAAAAAAGCTCAATATTTATTTGTTTACTTTATTAAACATTTCTTTCAACCACATGCATAAAGCTTACATTACGCATAGTCGAAATTAGAAAATTGCAACCAGAAAAACTATTTGATAGGTATTCGTGATATTTATAATAAAAAAGGAATTTGATTTAAATCATATCAAAGACGGAGTATATTACATTTAGTAAGAAAATATAAGCCGATTAAAATAAAAACATCTGCCCTGAAGATAAGGATAGTGCTGACAGATCAACTTCCAGTTCATTGCGCGCCATCTCAGTCTTCCCCGCAGAGCAGCGTGAAATTGCTAAACATATTTTGGAATAATTAGAGAATCAAAGGATATGCCTTTATCCATTTTTTGCAGCAATTCCACTTTTTGTTTGATGGACATCGGAACATGCTTTTGCTTTGTAGATCCTTTGGTAGCTCCAGAATCGAAAATTCTTTTTGACATAATCGAAAGTTCAAGGTTACTTTTATAAAATTGCTCTAATAGTCTGCGAAAAATAATAGGCCGGATCCAATTAGAAGATTAAGGAACAACGCAATCTGCAACATTTACTGAAATAGATAATTAGGTAATTTTAGCTTAGCTTATACCATCCATTATACATTAAATGCACATGCATAAAGGTATTATGCGCATGCGTTAACGCATTATGTATTGACGCGTGCGCAGAAAGTTTGTAGATTTGAGGTCCGGATTAAAGACTTTTGACTGTAGTAGTTTATATAAGGAAAGTTCAAAGTAAACACTTAAGACACATTTAAAACCATTTTTAAGCATTAATTATGTGGGTTAATTTTCACTTCAGTGTTTGGTAATATTCAGTAATGGGTTTATGTTGTGAAAAATTGTTTCATTGAATTAAATTGGCAAAATGCACCAACTCGTGAATTATGAAATGCATAACTCTTCCAAAATTTAAAACGCTATTCTAAAATTTTTATTATTAAGTCATGTCTGAAATTAATTGCAAAAAAACTGCCAGCTGTGTTATTAACCAGAAAGTAGCCACAGTATATATTCTGCGGTATCAATAACAGCAGCTAGTGCTTATGAATATTAGTTATTATGTTAGTCTTCATGTATAATTTTTTTATAGCTTTTAATTTTAATAACTGTTAATTTAAGGGGTTGGAGAGCCTCGGATTATCCCTCAGAATTGGGGTGGAAGTAGGACTCCAACATCCTTGAGGCTCAGTCAGCCATTCTTCTATGAAATACATGACAAAATAAGAAAATTTTAATAACTTAAAAGTGATAGTATTTTCATATAGTGATAAAAATCCTGTCCATTACAAATAAAGATAAAAAAAACTTGAAAGGATTATTTTGCTATTGACAAAGCATAAAATTTTTATTTACCTACAGTATTATAAAAGTGCATTTGTCATCAGCATAATAAAGGTAATCATCGAAAAAAAAGTTTTACCCCAAAAGGCATTAGGCCAGAAGTGCTATTAATTTTGTTTTGGCATTTTGCATTGATTCACTATAAATATTGGTTTACTTTTCAAATTGTTGCCACCAAATATTATCGCCCTGTGTTATATTTAAAGAAATTAAATAATGAAGAATCTGCATAATGTATGTATGTTTCTCACATTGGCATAAAACAACAGTACCTAGAGCCATCAAATTTTGAATAATGTAATCTTTCACCAAATATGGGCATCTGGTAGCCCTAATTTGGAATTTGTTTTATTACCGATTTCATATTTTGTACAACTTCAATGAATTTTTTATTAACAAACTGAAGGATTCCAAAGCGAGCAATGGCAATTTTGTACAGGAAAAACACTTTTGTCTCCAGTGCTTAGACTGTGCATCAGAAATTCTAAAGATATGCTCATTTTAAAATTATTTTGCAATATTGCTGTTGAACTAGATTTTATGGTGTAAGTGCGAAGAACATGATATTTAATAAATAAAGTTAACACACAAAACATTAAGAAAATGATGTATCAGCCAAAAGATCTTCACCCAAAAGGACACTCATATAATAACTATCCGTAAATAATATACAATCCTCAAATAATAATCCATACTAATTGTGTTACCAAATCATGCAAGTGTGTCTTTTTCATTTGCTGTTGCATGCTTTCCCACATAAATGTCTATTATAAGTGTAACCTTCCAGAAGATACAATTTGTGTTCTTTTACATCATACTTATGGCGCTTGCCTGTAATATACTGGCGAAAGGCAACTGTAATATACTGGCGAACACCCTTTCCACAGAACTACTGCTTTTGCCAATAACAATGTTTCTTCTTGGTTTGATGGTATTTTTGAAGGTCTTGGCAATTGCTTCTACAATATTTTTAGTTTTATTCAATTGGGCTTCAATGTTAGCTGTTGTGTTGTCGAAAAATTTAAAAATTTCAATATAGGTAAGAAATGATCATGTTTCCTGCTATTTTTATTTCTTACCTGTAGAGGTCCTCTCCATTGAAATATGCTTTCATCAATAATGATGTTTCTTCCAGGCTTAATAATATTTCTGAAAAGTAATAATAATTGCTTATACAATATTTCTAATTTTATTCAATTGATTTTCAGCTTTAGCTGCTATGTTGTCTGAAAAATGTAAAAATTTCAATATGGATAAGAAATGATAATGTTTCCTGATATTTTTATATGCATGTTCATTACATGGCCTGTTTAGACCAGTATAGTCTTAATTTCCAGTAGTTGCACTACACCTATGATCAGCTATATACCAATGAACATATATTGATTTCGTCTCTTGTAACAGCCTGCCAGGCCTGTTGGTATCTTTTGCTGTTCAGTAAAGAATTTATACAGCTTATTGCTCAGTATATTTAAACGTATCTTCAGCATGTGTTCAGCTACTACTCCTAATATATAATTAGTGAAGAATAACTTGAATAGAGCAACAAGATCATTGCAATCAACGTTTTCAGTTTAAAAATTTATCTTTTGAATTCTCATGTACTATTGGACTTCTTTTTATTATTTGCTGCTGTTCTGTACCTTCATCCTTCTCATCTGATAATGAATTGAAGTCAGAATCTTCTTCCTCCGTGGGGGAGTTGTACACTTTATTAGCTAATGATTCACCTTCATTCCTCACATGGAAAAAATCCTTATCCAAAGATGCTGAGTCTTTGGAAAAGTCTTGATCTTTTATTTTTTCTGCTTATATTTACTGATTCGTTGGACAAATCACTTTTTTCCATATTTATGTTGTCTGTGGGAAAAAATTAAAAAGGCAATATGATAACCACCTTTCTAGTTGCACTTATTTTAACCTTTTGAGGCTGGGTAGCTTTTACTTAGGCTGGATTACTTTTTAGCTAAACCCCGTCCTTTGGTAGCTTTTACTTATAGCAGTAAAAGCTACCAAAGGATGGGGAATCTTGAACCGAATGCTTTCCCCCCTTTAAGAAATCACCTCCTATTTGCAACAAAGATTGTTGTGTATAGTTTAATGGATTCTCAGAGGGGTGTTATATGTGTTGCAAAAGGAAGAGAGATAAGTGGTTAAAACCCCAGGGACGTCAAATTTGACATTTCACCCCACTTTTCATCCTGGAAAAGGGGGGAAAAAGACATGGCCACTAAAGTGGACAACCCCATCTTTTCAAAGAGAGGACTCTATGACCACTATAATGGCCATCCCGTCTTCAAAAGGTTAAAAGTATATAGTTAAGATGAATAATCAGCACAAGTTTTGTATAGCTTTCAACACAAAATTGTAACAGTTGTAACATTATTGAAGAAGATCCTGGTGGAGATTAAAAAATTTCACTTGATGTTTCAGCATGAGTTTTTCATATTCTGGTATTTTTGTCCTTATTTATACCATTTTTATCCCCCCCCCAAAAAAAGTTATTTTTGATGTTAATTTAAAAAATTTTATTCAGTATTGGAGATTTAGTTTTATAAGTGTGCCAGTAATAAATTTTATTTTTATTAAAGAGAAATGAAAGAGTTATATGATTTTTTTTATATAAACATAATAGTAAAAGTGTTAAGTGAGATATTAGATTATTATCTGAATTTTTCAGATTGCAGGTTCCCTCTTTTTAAGAATATTTTGTGATTGCATGCTTTTAAAAGCAACTCTCATATTTGTTTAATAATTTATTACAATTAATATAGTAAGACTGTTACACAAACATAAAGATGTTTTGTGTAACAGTCTTACTATATTAATTGTTAGCAAATCTTTTAATTTTTACTTCATGAAGGTGAAAATTTTTTAACACAAAAATTTATTTTCTAAATTGTTGTAATGTTTTGAATAAATTTCTATTTTTTAATGGGAATTGTATTGGTGAAGAGTAATTTACTTTGCTTTCATTTGTGTATTTGTTGATATTTCATAATGAAATTTTAATCTAAAAGTAAATTTATGTATAATATTTAAAGTTTTTACCAGCAAAATTAATGTCAAATTAATATGAATGTTGGGTACATTTGGAAGTATTAGTATGTATATTTTAATCTGTGTAGATGATTTTTTGTTTCGTTCACAATTTATCTCTCTCAGATATTCACAATTTATCTCTTTTTATTTACTCATTTTTAATAGTAATATATTTAATAGCATTTAAGAACATTTAAGGAAAACAGATTTCATGCATAAATGCAAAGAAGATAAAACCATTTAACTTATATTATGTCATTTCTTTATACATGTAGGTGCGCAGTACTATCAGTGATTTTGCTGTTGTTATAGCCATTTTACTAATGACAGTTGCTGATGCCTGTGTTGGTTTAGCTACTCCCAAGCTGCAGGTTCCAGAAAAATTTCAGGTAATTAAAAAATATTTTGTGATTACATGGAATTGAATTTAGATTAGAAAATCTTCAAACTTTAACTACGTGTAGTTACATGTAATTAAATTTATTTCTTTGTAATAATACTGTGTAATGTTTTATTTTAGTAATAATTTAGGGTAAAAATCTAAATTATTATAATTAATGGTTTTATTATTGATGCTATGATACTGTTAAAATTTAGATAAACTATGAACTCATTTCTGTTCATAAATATATATTAATAGCAAACGGCAGTTAATGGTTTCATATGCGTTATATTTGCAAGTACCGTGTATTTTCCATGAAGCATCTACTAATTTTTAAAATTTTATCTTAATATGAAAGCTGATGAAGTTCCAAGTGAGGTGGATTCCCCACTTTATAAATCAAACATTGATAAATATCCCACAAATAATTCCCCATCAGAAAGTGTATTTTATTTGCATTTGTTTATGAAAATTTTAGTCTTCATTTCTTTTTTCAGATGTGATATTAAAATGATTTGGCAATAAGTATTGAGGAAAGTAACTTAATATACTAAACAGAGTTTACAGACTAGCAAAAAAAGAATTTTGACATTAATATTACTAATTCTAGCAGTTTCACAAAAATAAATGAATATATAAAGTAAAGCCTGTTATCAGCCAGTAATGTTTTATTTCAATAATAATAATTTAGAGTAGTAAAATATAATTATTAAAATTAATGGTTTTATGTGTGTATTTGTAATGTGTGTGTATTTTTACAATAAAACCTCTCTTGGTGACCAATTCCCAAAGATTATCATCCCCAAAAGTGATCATATTTCTTAGAAAATAAACAAATACAGGTGTTCAACATTACTAAGTAAATCGCTTCCACAGATGATCAAAATTGTCTACAAATATGAGTAATTATTTCAAGGAGGTTTCATTGTGTAGATATTACTAACAATAGTTTAAAATATGTTCTTACTTAGCTGTACATTGTAATATTGCAGCCAACATGGCATGGTCGGGGCTGGCTAATTTCCTTCTTTGGAGCAAAAAATCCCTGGTGGACAGCACTAGCAGCTGCTTTGCCAGCACTTTTAGCTACTATCTTAATTTTCATGGATCAACAAATAACAGCTGTTATTATTAACAGACATGAGAATAAATTGAAAGTATGTAAATTTTGAAACATTAATTCTCTGGCTTGTATAGCTTTTTTTTTTTTTTTTTTTTTTTTTTTTTTTTTACTATGTTTTATTAGTTAATTGAGTAATGCTCTTTTTTTTTTTTTTTTTTTTCCATTTTGCATCATTTTCTATGTATTGTTTATTTTACTATTAATTGTATTAAAACTAAAACGTCTTCTTTTGTTTGCTTCACAGAAAGGCTGTGGATATCATTTAGACTTGTTTGTTTTAGCAATTCTAATTGTAATATGCTCATTTCTGGGCCTGCCATGGTTTGTTGCTGCTACAGTTCTAGCAATGACACATGTTAATTCATTGCGAATGGAATCTGAATGCTCAGCCCCAGGAGAGAAGCCCCAATTCTTAGGCGTCAGGTGCATTATATTTATTATTTTAATTTTCTCAATTTATCTGTTATAAAATAGACAAATCTTTGAGTCAGCTGTCAGTAGCTATTAGAAAAGTTTCCTGAGTTGCTAAAATATGAAATCTTAGCATATTTAATCTATTGAACTTCTATTTCACCACCATGTACCATTAATAATTTGCATTACTGCTGTAATCGTTTTTACTCAAAACTATTAATTCATAGGATAATACCAAGAAATAAAATGTTCAATAGAAGAAAGATATAGAGCAAAAAACATGTATCATAAAAATGCTAGATTAAATCTCATTTCTCTGGAAAATATTATTTTAATTTTACTAGAATTGTAAAGCATTCATCCAACAGTAGAAATCAAGTTAAAAATTGGTGTCACAGAGAGAAAATTGCCGATTTAGAATTTGTGGAAAATTTGATTTAATAAATAAATTTACAGTATCTCTGATTTTCTGTAAGTTAATTGATCAGAAAATGTTCATTTAATAAAAATCAAGAAGAGATTAGAAATTTATTGAACCACTGAGATTATAAAAATGAATATAATCAATATTTTATTCTACTTTTCAAAATATTAATTTTTTAACAGTGGAATGTCAATTTGTAGTTTCTGCATAGAAGTAAGGAAATATGAATGGAAAAATAATTGGAAAATATTACTGATTGTTAATATGTAATATTTTATTATTAAATAACATTTGTTCTTTCAGCATTAATATACTACATCAAAAATCTTATTAACAAAAAGCTATGCTTTGTCCTTTACTTCTTAACTGAATTTTAGTTCAATTAAAAATATGAATTTTCATTTTTACAATCCACATTATTTATATTTTGTGCACAGAAAAAAGATGTAACTTTATAAAGCTGTGCATGTCTCACTGTGCTGGGATACTGTGCTGTGCTCATTCTACTTGAATTACCCTTTTATGAGACATGAAGTTCTGACAGCCAGAACACAGCATGAGCTTTTCATGCTAATCTCTGCATACAGTGGAAGTTGGAGTTAGTTGATAATATTCAGCCCTTGATTAGATAATTAACTTGTTGCAATTGTTTGCAAGGTTGAGATGTGCATTTGAGTATTTGCCATCAAAGTCTGAGTAAGAATTAACACTTGAACGCCAAGTTTTCGGTTTTCTGTTTTGTGCACTCTGTGTGAGTTTTTCACGAAACTGATTGTGCAATGTTTGGTCTCGTTCATTTGCTCTCCCAACACTGTTGTAAGTTGAAGTTGAAATTCTAATATTACTCTTTTCTGCCTCTCAGAGTGGAATGTTCTATGGTAATTATTGTTCATCTGGATGAGTACTATTACCCCTCCCAATTTGTAAAAACAATTTAGAATCACCCTATATATGGTCATTTATTATACAGTAAAAGTCTTTAATCTGGACGTCCATAATCTGGAATGATCTGTTATCTGGACCTCAAAGCTACAAACTTTCTGCGAATGTGTAGCATTTACGCATGCGCATAATACCTTTACACATGCACATAATATATTTATGCATGCATGTTTAATGTATAACGGATGATATAAGCTAGGCTAAAATTATCTAATTATCTATTTCAGTTAATGTTGCAGAGTGTGTTGTTCCTTAATCTTCTAATTGGATCAAGCTTATTATTTTTTGCAGACTGTTAGAGCAATTTTATAAAAATTAAGCTTGAAATTTCGATTATGTCAAAAAGAGTTTCCGATTCTGGAGCTGCCAAAGGATCTGTAAAGCGATTTCGATGCCCATCAAACAAAAAGTGGAACTCCTGCAAAAAAATGAATAAAAGTGTGAAGAAAGTGACAGATAGGTTAGTGAAAATGAAAAAATTTCAATTGACAAGTTAGTCAGTATTCTCGGCACAGCAATTACAGGACTTGAACAGCGGAACTTTGTAACTGAACAAGAAATTATATCTGTTTATAGAATTAAAGAGAAAGTATTAGCACATAAAACGAAGCAACTTAAACAACTTACATTGAAAGAAATGTTTAATAAAGTGAACAAATAAATATTAAGCTTTTTTTTTTTTTTTTTGGTAAATTTTGATACTCTTTAGATCATAATTGCTCTTTATTTCATATTTTTAATTTTATAATTTCTGCATGCCATCTTACCAAATTTAAATTGATGATCTATAATCCGGAAAAAACCCTAACCCGGAATCGCCGAAGTCCCGATGAGTCCGAATTAAAGACTTTGTACTGTATATATCAGAAAATGTACTTTGTTTCATCCTAAATTTCTGTCTCTCTTGGTACCTTCACAAGTTGTTAAGACTCTGGTAAAGCCATTATTGAAACAAAGCTACTGCCTTACCTTAGATAATTATTATAGTTCGCCAGAATTATGTGATAGCCTTTTGGCTTATCAAACAGATGTGGTTGGAACTGTTTGACAAAATAAAAATGATTTACCTTTAGCATTGAAAATAAAAAGTTAAAAACCATGAAGTTATATCATTTAGACGTGTCAAAATCCGTGCTCTCAAATGGAAGGACAAAGGGAAGTAACAATGTTATCATCTTTTCATGATTTTGAAACTGCTGATAATGACCCAAAGAAAAAACATTGAAAACAAAACCAAAGACTACAATAACTTTATTGACTACAATAAAACAATGTGAGGTGTGGATCTTATAGATCAATACCTTTCTAATTTTCAAATAGCAAGAAAAGGTGGGGGAAAATATCAAAAAAATAGTCTTTCACCTTTTAGACCAAGCCGTTTTCAAGTTTATAAAAAATTAAGTGGAAAAAAGTGTCATTTAAAGTTTAGACTGGATTTAATCGATGAAAGAGTAGACAAATATCATACATTTATCAATTTTTCAAGGCGAGGTTGCCCATCAAGTGACGCGCCATCAAATTGTGTATTTAAAGTGCATTTGAATGACATTTTTCTAAACCAATACAACCTACAGAAAAAAAAAATCCTTTCAGAGAATGTAAAGTGTGTTCATCAAAGAAGAATGCAAATGGAAAACGAATAAGAAGAGAAACGAGGTATTATTGTAAAGATTGCAATGTAGGACTGTGCATACCATGTTTCAAACTTTATCATACCCAGAAAAATTATTAAATTTTTGAAAAAAATATTACAGCTTTAATGATGTTGAATAAAAGCATCACCATCTGCAGATAATAGTGTGCGTTATTTAAACGTACTTGATTTTTCTCTCTCCAAAATTTACATGTAATCTTAAAGGCCTGTGTTGAAGCTTTTCTGCCTAGCTTGGGTGTAAAAGTAAAGCCAATTATAAAATAAAACAATGTAAGTTAATAAAAAATTTTACATGTTTAAAAAAAACGGTTAAATTTAACGAAAAATATAGTGTTTATTATATGAGTTTGTTTCAAAATTCATAAACATAAAAAATAATAAAAAATTGATTTTTGAATAAATTTTGTCAAAATTTTGTGACGAGTAAGGGGTTAATTATTGGAGTACAGGTGGTGATTTTAAAATTAAGGATTCAGGAATAAATAACATTATTTTATGTAGGGGACCAAAATTAGTCAATGAAATATGTAAAAATATGTAAAATGATTATTGTAGGAACAAACCAAGGTTCTGCTATAATTTTTAATAATAGTAAGATCTTTAATTTAGTTATGTAATTTAATTTAGTAGTAGTATGCAGAAGTATTTATTATATATTATATATATTGAAATAAATGTAAATGTAAGGGGAAAGTAAAAATTTTCAATTTTTTTACTAGTTTTTACTAGTTTTGTTATATATTTTAAGAAAAAATTCTTTGCAGAGAACAACGGGTGACCCAAATATTCATATTTGGATTGGTTGGATTATCTGTTCTCTTCACTTCTGTACTTCAGGTAAACAAAATAAATTATCCTAAAACCTTTTTATCTCCAGCATGTATCGGAAATTCTAAAGATATGTTCATTTAAAAATTATTTTGTGACATTGCTATTGAACTGATTTTTATGGTTTAAGTGCAAAGAACGTGATATTTAATAAATAAAGGTAACACACAAAACATTAAAAAAAGCCCCTTTGGACATAATTTAAAATCTAAAACTGTTCAGATTTTTTATATTTAAGTATGAAGTCATCCATGCCGAGTTCTTTAGATGCTAACATGAACATTGATTTGTCTAATTTTCTAAGGTACTGTCTATTGTAAAAGATTAGCTTGTATTTTCTTGTGTTCAAAAAAAAAAAAAAAAAAAAAAAATTTCACATTATATATGTTGTGATTGTTCAAATTATATTTTTCAACTGATTTAACAATAGATGTGGTTGTTTTTCATATATGTTTTTAGCAAAAGAATTACTTGCAACAGTTTTTTGAGAATTTAGCTTCTGAAAGAAAATCATCCTGATAAATCCTGTATGAAATACATATGCTTGTCAGATGCAACGTATCCTCAAAAAAGAATTTTCTTCAGAATATTCATGTATTTTGACATTTTATTAAAACTTTTGCATTTTTATTTGAATCTGTGCTAAATAATGATTTGTGATGCATCATCAATGTCAAGAAATTCTGGAACAAATTCTCATTCATAAATACCATTTAATAAAATCATCTCAAATCTCCAATGCGAAAATTTTATTCCAAGCAGCTTTCATTATATGTACAGCAAATAATATATTAAAGACTTCATTATATGTACAGCAAATAATATATTAAAGACAGTTTCATTACTAATTCAACTGAAATAGTATTATCACTCATTTTTGATGCTTTTTGAAGCTGTATATCACTTTTCATTCACATTCTGTAGCTTGCTCGTCTGACATTGGTAGGAGAAATTCAGTTTTTAGTTACCCCCGCCAGACTCTTAAAGTAAAAAAAGGAACTCAGAAGAGGTTATCTACATGGAAAAAATTTTGGTAGATGTGATATATTTGTACGCAAAAAGAAATGATTAAAATTTTAGAGAAATTGAAAATTCTATTCAGAAGTTTGTAGTGAATATACTACATGTAATAATTAATCAATACGATGTTGTCCCTTTCTTGACTCTTATACAAGCAGTTCGTATTGACGAGTTACATCCTGGGATGGTCAAACACATCTACTTATGAGACTCCAAATGTATTCTAGTGTGTGATAAATGTGAAGACAATCAGTAGAAATAATTGCCATATTTTAGCCAGGCATGATTCTGTTGAAATGTAAGCTCAGAATGCCGTGAAAGGAAGAGCAACACATAATATGCCGAAGAATATCTTTGAAGTACCACCACTCTAGAAAAGTGTCACAGGTGACATCCAAAGGGTCTAAGTATCATATAACATAGCATTTCAAACTATGGTTCCCTGTTGTCAGGTTGTGTGAAAAATAGGCGAAAGATAGCTGCTGCAGTGAATGCTGTGAACACAGACCTCCTTCTCTGAGTTGCCTGTCAGTGGTCTTTGCTATCTCTGGTGTCTCAGTTACACGTCAGATGAAAGCCACTTTTTCCCTGGTGTGTTGTCTTCACAAATGATAACTTTCTTTTTGATGCTATATCCCAACATGGTTCAGTTGTTTCTGCCAACTGACGAATGGCAGTATTCTGCTGACCCTAATAAATATTTGGCTCATTTGATTTTTCAATTTGATCATTTTGCTTCTTTAAGACCAACTACAGTACAAAGTCTGTAATCCAGACGTCCATTATCCAGAATGATCTATAATCTGGACCTCAAAGCCACAAACTTTACGCATGTGCATAATGTATTATACGTAATGTATGCATTATGCATGCGCGCATTGAAAGAAATGTTTAATAAAGTAAACAAATAAATATTAGGCTTCTTTTTGTCAAATTTGATACCCTTTAGATCATAATTGCTCTTTATTTTATAAATTACGGTTTCATATTTTTAACTTTATAAGTTCCGCATGCCATCTTACCAGATTTACATTGATGATCTATAATCCAGAAAATCCCCTAATCCGGAATCGCCGAAGTCCCGATGAGTCCGGATTATGGACTTTGTACTGTATATGTCTTTTATCAACTGCTGGTGTATGCTCATACTGTGCACGAAACCATTTGTAAAGCAATGATGCGGTCAAATTATGTAGACAGAATAAAATGTGAATGAAAGTAATGTCCAAGAATGATAATTTCTTCTTATTTAATACGTTATTTTGATGCTTAGTTTTGATGTTCTGTAGCTCTAGCTTGTCATTCACAAGCCACCAAGATTAAATTATTTGCTTGTTGGATTGAAAGGCATTCAAATTTGAAATTTCACTACTATCAGATAATTCCTTCTTTATGTCACTTTTTTTTTCTTCTTTTTTTGTCTTTAAGGGTATCTAAAGGGCATGCAGTCAGACATCACATTTTGTCCATGCTATATATTTTTTATACAATACTGGAAGACATTCTAACACCTTTGAAGTAGAATAATGTCTGTGAGTTTCCTTCATAAGAACATAAAGTTTTGACTGCTTCTTTTTGTTTGGAAAGCACATGGGCATAATTATACTTTTTATGATTTTCAGAAAAAAATTAATTATTCTTTTTTTAAAAAAAGGGGGAAAGGCTCAAATTGTATCTTATTCATATATTCAAGAAAATCCTTATAATGATTTTTTGGATGGTTTATTAAACTGAGAAATATATATTAGGTTTGTAGATGATCTATGGGATTTTCTTGAGGATCATTACATTGTGAATCATACCTATCAATAGTCAAACAGAATTAAGACTTTTGAACACTAAGAGTTCAGTTTGTGTCCATATTCTAAAATGAGGTGTTGTGTGGGAGTTCTTATGGTGCTAACCATTCTAACATTAATGCAGTGTTTTCTTCAGAAAGTTCATCACAAAGGCATCCCTTCATGTAGACTAGAAGAGAAACACGCTAATGTGACAATCAAAACCGTGAAAAACAACCTTATATTTAGCGTAGGTATAATGAAACACTCGATCGATTTCGAGGGAAGCTAAAGGTCCCTCCTCATCAGGAGAAAGAAATACATAGAAAGAAGAAAATAGGAATCACAGAAACACGTGGTGCTTATCAGCACTGCACGTCGTTATAACTAGATTTTTAATCAGAGTTGCACTGGCCGCCTACTTTTACTGAGCCAGGCTGTCTGATCAAGCATAAAGAAATATTAGCGAAGTTAAAATAGGGAGCGAGGGGCAAATGCACATTACGCTCAAAATCTGAACTTCAAATAATGGAAAGCAACCACTGAACGGATTTTTATACCCTCTGGTAGTACCAAGTGCGAGGAGGTAACGCCATCTATCGGCAAAAATAATTGAATTAAGACAGTAGAATTTTAAAGGCATTAGGAAGGACTGGATTGGACTTCAAATCATTAACTAAACTTTCTAAATCTTTGTGAATGTGAAAAGCCTCAAGAAAATCCAATTCGCCTATGGAAGAAGCCTTTTGGATGATTTTTGCAGACCCAAAATCAAAATTATGGTTAAAAGTCCAGCTATGATACGCTATTGAAGACTTGTTAATTTCCCCTTTTTTGACATAAGATTCATGTTCCTTGATACGAAACTTCAACGCTCTTTTTGTTTGGCCAATATATCTTAAACCACACTGACATGATATACTATAAATTCCCCAAGAATTCAAGACAGAAACGCAATCTTTTAGAATCGAAGGGTGAATTTTATTAATAGGGGAGAAACCGACTTGAAAATTGAATTTCTGGAGAATCCGTGCAATTTTATAGCTAACAGAAGGATAAAATGGAAGCACGACAAGGTCATTGATATTATTTCTAACAGTGGAATGTCTTCTTTGATGGGAATCTGAAAATTTTTTGACGGCTTTATCAATAATCACGGGAGAAAATCCACGGTCAATCGCAACTGCTCTCAAATAATTAAGTTCATTGGTAAGCAAAGATTCAGAGGAACAAACTTTTAGCGCGCGGAAAACATAATAGTAAAAAGAAGCCATTTTTTGCTTAACAGGGTGGCATGGGGTGGTAAACAAACTGCAAAGGGTTTACGGTACACAGTGGTGCTAAAATCGGTTTCATTGCGGATTCCAATTTCAAGAGTCTGGATCAATTGAATTCATAATCTTCTTTTTCGCTTACTAAAGTTTCTCTAAGTCAAACCCACTTTGTTTTCCAAAATGCATATTTTCGTCAAGTTGAAGGATTGGCTATGGGTAATCCTCTCAGTCCGGTACTTGCTGACATTTATATGCACTATTTTGAGATGAAATTATTTGATAAATTATCTTTTCGTCTTTGGATTCGGTATGTTGACGACACTTTCGCACTTTTTGACGGTTATAAAGAGGATTTATCCGAGATTCTATCTATTATGAATTCAATTGATCCAGCCATCCAATTCACTCTTGAAATTGAATCCAACAATTCCCTCCCCTTCCTCGATATTCTTATAATCCGCAATGAAACCGATTTTAGCACCACTGTGTACCGTAAACCCTTTGCAGTTTGTTTACCACCCCATGCCACCCTGTTAAGCAAAAAATGGCTTCTTTTTACTATTATGTTTTCCGCGCGCTAAAAGTTTGTTCCTCTGAATCTTTGCTTACCAATGAACTTAATTATTTGAGAGCAGTTGCGATTGACCGTGGATTTTCTCCCGTGATTATTGATAAAGCCGTCAAAAAATTTTCAGATTCCCATCAAAGAAGACATTCCACTGTTAGAAATAATATCAATGACCTTGTCGTGCTTCCATTTTATCCTTCTGTTAGCTATAAAATTGCACGGATTCTCCAGAAATTCAATTTTCAAGTCGGTTTCTCCCCTATTAATAAAATTCACCCTTCGATTCTAAAAGATTGCGTTTCTGTCTTGAATTCTTGGGGAATTTATAGTATATCATGTCAGTGTGGTTTAAGATATATTGGCCAAACA